TTGAAACTTTTGTATCACATGCCGCTTGCAGGGTCTTCGAAAATAATTTATCCTTGTAAAATTGTCTTGTTCCCTTGAGGTACCAGAGCTGCAGCCACCATGTCTAAGGCTACATCTGAATGAATGGTTAAGTGAGCTGAGGCTCTACTATCCTACTTTGTCATGGTCCCAGACAGCAAACAGCGAAGGGACCTGGGTCAAGCTTAACACTGCTTTTCCAGGTCTGTGCTGCTTTTCTATGGCTAATGTGACATTTAGGACCAATGATTTTTCTCAAACCATGGTAAAATGAATAGTATAGCTAGGATCTGCTGCAACAATATACAATGAACAGCAAATACGTCAACTTTCACTTCTAAGATGAGACGTAATAGAGTTAAGATATGTTGGGCACTCATGTGCCAGGCACTATGATAAGTAAGGGCTTTTATGTGGGTTCTGGTTAACTCTTTGAGGCTGTACTTAATATCTCAGTCTCCTCACCTGTAAAATGAGGACAATGGAGGGCTTCTCTGGTGGCGCAGTGGTTGAGAGTCCGCCTGCCGATGCACGGGACACAGGTTCATGCCCCAGTCCGGGAAGATCCCACATGCCGCTGAGCAGCTGGGCCCATGAGCCATGGCCGCTGAGCCTGCATGTCCAGAGCCTGTGCTCCGCAACGGGAGAGGCCACAACAGTGAGAGGCCCGCGTACAGCAAAAAAAAAAAAAAAAAAAATGAGGACAATGGAGAGATCATGTAACCTTAACAATGTCAAACAGCTATATGTGCTGCACATGCCTGGCTTCAGAGCCCACCATCTTCTCGTACTCACCGTCCCCCAGCTCTTTCGATGTCTGTGAAAACGCCTGTGTGGTCTTTTGGGCACCTTCCTCCTAATCCTCCTTGTCAGCTAAGGAATGATAAATACTCTCTTAGTGGTGAGAGGCAGCAGGTGTGTTGGCTAAGAGGCTGAGCTCTGGAAGCCAATTGTCTAGTTTGAATCCAAGCTTTACCATTTATTGGCTGTGTTGACCTTGGGTGAGTTTGTTCTCCACCTTGATTTCCACATACGTAAAAGTCGGGTGCCCATAGAAGCTACCTGCTAAGTGTTATGAGGAGGCAGAAGAACAAGGCCTGGTGTACAGTAAACATGGTGTAAACGTTAGCTGTTATTACCTCCCACTCTTCTTCTTTTTTCCCTAGCATTCAAAAAGGTGAAATTTTGCTCTCATGCCTTGCCCAGATGATAGGAATATGAAATTTAAAGAGGCTTTAGAAAAATACTTCACGCACTTATTTCCTTCCAGCATAAAGAACGAAGAAGCTGGATCTTTGTTACCAAGGGCCACTCTCAATCAGTTAGATGTCAGTGGTTCTTGGAAATGAACCAAGAACCAAGAGGGCAGCATAAAAATGGCAAGACTTAATAGTGAGTGGGCCAGAGACAGAACAGGATATCCCTGTCAATCATTACTGGGAATCCACCACTAATAGTGACTTAGTATATACTGTAAAATGTATACCTTGAGTGATTAAATGCTGGGTTTTTTTGCAATTTGTAAGATTTTCGTGCACACGCGTATGCTATCACTTGGAAAAATAAGATGTGTAGTTGTGACTTGGTATAAGAATAGTATTGTAAAATCCAAGTAGTATTGGAAAGTGATATTTGGGCTGGCTAAGGGGTAGGGATGAGCTTACAAACCTTATCGACAGGTGATAGATATTTAAGAAACTTTGGGTGCCTACCAGGTACATATTACTGTTTTGGGTGCTGAGGATACCAAAGCAAATATAACATACCCCTCATCTGGCAAAAATCCTGCCCTGGTGAAGAAGAGAAATTACGTGATACTGGTTCTCACAGAACCAAATAATAAGCCATCTGTTCGTGGGCCAGCCATCCCAGCATCCCTAATCCTGAAGTGCATTCTTCTAGGACAATAATAATGGCTTAAATCTTGTTAAATGTTATGGTTTGCAAAGGACTTTTTGCAAAAACTTGCTCATGTAACCCTTATAGTAACCCTATGAGAAGGCTGTTGTCCTTATTTATAGGTAAGGAAATGGAAACTCAGAAGTTAAACAATCTGCCTGTGATTTCAAACCTAGTTAGTTGTAGACCTTGCATTTGAGCCCATATGGTTTGATCTCAAGCCAGTCCTTTCTCCAATGCACCAGCCACAGAATTTCTACCTCATTTGCCGCAGTTAGGAATGGCGTTTATCCCCCAAAGTGGTGGTCATCGTTACTTGAAGGAAAGGACTGGTAGGTTTTGCGTAAAAGACAAGGGTCATGTATATAATCAGAGTCTGGTGCTACAAATTGGGATGTTTGATTATAGATTGATTATTAATAGGACTATGGGGACAATTTAGGTTTCCTCAAAATTTTTATGCCAATATTTCAGTGAGGAGATATTTCACTAAATTGACCGAATCCCCTCATTGGGATTTACAATTCCTGGCAATGTTTATTTGATGACTTTTGGTGTAAAGGAAGGAACACTGGATACATGAGGTCTTCCCTCATAGCTGATACTCATGATTCAGGGGAACTTCAACTTCTTAGGCCTCGTTTTCCCACACAGGAAATAAAAAAATTGTACTAGATAATTTCCCTAAAGCCCTTTTGTGTCTAACGTTGTTTTTCTATGATATAAAATAATGATCACTCTCAGTGTCCATTCCCTCTTGGGTGATGGGTGTTTTCTACTCTCTAGGGGATGCCAGAACGTTATACTCTTTTGGGCTTAAATGTAATGCTCTTAGGTATGATTTTTTTTTTTAAGTGTTACGAAAAAAACCCAAAGTACATGGTTACCCAAAATGCTGGACCTAGATACTCTGTGACTCAATTAAATATAAAAAGAACCTTAGTTTAGGGGAGGGGGGCATTGGGTGAATGTGTGTGTGTTTGCTATACCTGTTATACTTCACTGTCTCCCAATTAAAGCTGTTCTGTTCAAATGTATCCAGAAGCTGAAAAAGTCCATCAAACCAGAGGCAGAGAGTCTTTTTATAGTAGTGTTTTACTTAACTGCTTCCCCAACTCACTTTTTGGTTTCTACAGAACCAATCTCTTAAGAAACTAAAATTTTAGTGCTATAATTAAAATTTGCTGAGACTTAAGGGATTTTTTCCTACCTCAGAGGTACAGAGTTTCTGTTAAGCATGTCAATAATTCACCTTCCTCCCCACCCCACATCTTTGAGGGTGGAGACTCAGAGTAAATTCTTTGGCAATGAATAAGTAACTTGTTGCCCTTACCTATCCCACCCCCCGGTTTTAGGCTTATAAGTACTTCATTTTTGATTCTTAATTTTTTTTAAATTTATTGAGGTGAAATTCAAATAGTACGAATTTAACCATTTTAAAATGAACAATTGAGGGGCATTTAGTTCATTCAGAATGTTGTGCAACCACTGCATCTAGTGCCAAAATGTTTCCATTACTCCAAAATAAAGTCCCATATCATTAGGCAGTTTTTCCCCATTTCTCCCTCACCCTAGCCCCTGGCAATCACCAGTCTTCCTTCTGTCTCTGTGAATTTACCTATTCTGGAGACTTCATATAAATGGAATCATACAATATGTGACCTTTCATGTCTGGCTTCTTTCACTTAGCATAATGTTTTTGAGGTTCATCCAATTGCAGTATGTATCAGTGCTTGATTCCTTTTTATGGCAGTATAATATTACATTGTATGTATCTACCACAATTTGTTTGTACATTCATCTGTTGGTAGACACTGGGTTGTTTCCACTTTGGGGCTATTATGAATAGTGCGGCAATGAATATGCAGCTACATGCCTGTTATTTGTTTGAGTACTTGTTTTCAATCTGAGGGGGTATATACCCAGATACCCAGGAGTGAAATTGCTGGGTCACATGGTAATTCTTATTTTAACATCTTTGAGGAATTGCCAAACTGTTTTCCATAGTAGCTGAACCATTTTAAGTTCCCACCAGCAATGTATGAGGGTTCCAATTTCTCAGTCTCTTTGCCGACACTTGCTATTTTCCATTTTTTAAATTATTATAGCTCATCCTGGATTCTGAATCCTGATTTCTACCTGCTTCTCAAATCTGGTGATCCTCATTTCGGTAATTCCCTCTCACTAGTCCCATCCTTCAACCAGATAACCACTTCTCACAGGTTATTCCTGCTCTCTCACTGAGCCTTCCTCCTTGTTTATAGTTCTCAAGAACGAGTCTTTACCAACTTAAACTACCTCCATTTTTCTTCATGCTAACAGTTTTTATATTTTCATTAATCTCCTTGCCTCCTGCCCAATAATATCAGATAATAGTTTCCCGATTAGCTGACAGTTCCACATAAACAAAAATACCACCAGTCCTTAACCCTTAGCATAATGTGTCTGCATAGCTTTGAAAGGGGAAAGTTAGTAGTGGTGGTTGGTGGTGAGAGATATGAGTAGGGCTGACTGATAATCTCTTTCAAGGGGGGAGGACTGTCTAATTCACGTTTTTATCCATCTTAACTCCTAGAGCAGTTATAATTAAAGAGCTCTTGAAACTTTAAGGGTAACAATGGTACCGTTTTCCCCTCTAATAATCCCTTCCCATATACTGAAATTTAAAACTTTAGAATAGTTTGTCTCAGTCAGTATTAGGGAATCAGCATGTTAACTAGACATGAGTAGATCAAAGGAAGTTCCTTTTGCTGGTAGCTAAGTGCCCACAGGTGCTGATGAAGGTCATGTTCTGTGGTCACATTCATGACACACTGAGAGATAACATTTCATATTTCATACTATGCCCTAGGAGGCCAAAGACATACTGATACTGGAGAACTCTGCTCTAGGGTATGTGTTTGTGGGAATGTAGCTGTGGTCACCAAATTCTTTTGTCTTTACCAGGAATAAATGTCACTTCTCAGGTACACCTAAAGAGATGTTATTGTATTAAAAGTAACTGGAGATGACAATGAAGTTTTAGTCTTAAGAAAATTTTAGTATTGTTTTTAATGATTATGTAAACTTGGATTTCTTTATAGGTGCCAAAGAACGTTCTGAGATCTATGAAGCATTTGAAAACATCTATCCTATTCTAAAGGGTTTTAAAAAAACCTGAGTATATCATTCAACATCTCACAGTATGTTGGTTTGAATATGTGCAAAAGCCCAGCACAGAAACTGCTGGATTATAGATATTCCATGCACATTTTGACTTCAGTTATTAAAGTGTGATTCTGTATGAGTAACCATGCCTAAGAAATGAAGAAACTTTTTTTCAAAATGACTCGTGTATGTTATTTTTAAAATGGAAAAAGTAAACTTACTTCAGAATTTGAAAGATTTAGGGCCTTGCTAGAATGATACTGTAACGTCATTAAAATTTAATGCTTTGCTCTTGTTAAAGATGTAGTACATTAACATGTGTTCTCTAAAAATACATAGCAATATATAGAAATTTCAAATAACTGCATAAAACAGGATAGAAAATTGTCTATTTTTTGCCTTTTTAAATATTGAGTAGATGATCCGGGCCATTGGGTACGGGCCTGTGAAGGATCCTGTCAGAATACAAATGAAACATGGAAGTCTGAAAACTTGAGAAAAATTAAATAAACATCCTTTTGTTTGAAATGGTCAGAGAAAATTATTTCTCTCCCTTAAAAATAAATCTTACAGAGGAGTTGACCCTGGATCCCGTGACCCTGGCAGTCGCGAGCTGCACAGGCTCCCCGGAAGGGGGTGTGGAGAGTGACCTGTGCTCGCACACAGGGTTCCTGGTCGCGGCAGCAGCAGCCTTAGCGTCTCATGTCCGTCTCTGGGGTCCGCGCTATTAGCCGCGGCTCGTGCTGTCTCTGGAGCTCCTTTAAGCCGCGCTCTCAATCCCCTCTCCTCGCGCACCAGGAAACAAAGAGGTAAAAACTGCTGAAGTGAATTGTTTTGTGGTAACAAAAGTAAAACAAGAATAACTGCTTGTTAAGAGTCTGCTCCACTACTCCAATATCCCGAGTCCATCTCTGGTGAACATGGACACAGCGGGTTCATTTCTGAAACATGAAGCAAAGCTTATATAATCAAGTGGCTCATTAGAGAAGATCAGAGGATTTCAAAGTACACTTTAAAGACTAAAACTAATGTCCTGTATTTAAAGAGGAGATCAAAGTTGACACCACATCCAGAAGATCCTTTGCAAAACATCACTCTTCTGTGTTATTATCAGAAGTGACTTTCGCTGCCCTTCGCTGTAAATCTATGAAAGGTCTCGATGTGAGTCTAATAAGCACTAACAATTAAGGGATGTGTGTGGCAGAGTCCTCATACGTGAAATTGATGAAGAGACTTTGCAGCTGAGGATTATCCTGGCTACACCAAGATGTAACAAAGAAACGAAGGAACAAAGCCCATGAACCCAGGAGACCTGGAAGTTACTCAGACATAAGGACAGGGCTTTTTGGATCTGTGTGCTTTTATGCAGAAAAATGTGATTAAAACAGAAAAGCTCTACCGCCATGACTCCTGAACCCCTGATCATCTTAATTACGAATTGCAAATACAAAGGACAATATATGGGATCCCAAAGCAAGGAAATTGATCTACTCCCAATGCCGAGCACAGTGCCTGTAAGACAAGGTTTGCACAAGAGATAAGTGATGCTCCGATGAATGAGAGGTCCAGAGTCAGCTCACTTCCTGGGCACGTGCCTCATCGCACACAGTCACGGTTGATCAGCAATGCCTCTTTTACTGAATAATGACTACTTTTTATATTTTGAAATCTCACTCTGAATCAATTCACAGAAACTCAGAAACTTTTCTAAATAGAAACAGTCCATCTGAGCGGTGGTAAACAAGATGTTGAAGTCTGCAAAATGGAAAACAGATTATGCAGAGGAATTGTGTGCAATGACTTAGACAGAAAAAAAAAAGGACACTTTTTAACACACTCCTGCTTCTTTAATTGTTTTGGCATGTGAGAATCAGAGAGTCACGCAGGTAAGCAAAGGTTAAGTTTCCAGAAACCTGCCACTTGGAGGCTCAGATCCGTTTTTGGTGTAGCTCCGTGTTGCAGCCATGCTGCAGTAGCACAAAGCAAGTACGTGTCGTTATGTGTGAAATGACTGAAGGTGGTTCTGAACTTTTCACTGAAGTGAGTGTCATGGGTTAAAGACTTCCACCAAGACTGCGGTGAACCACAAAACCGTCTCTAGAATTCAGCCTATCGCTCCTAACTGAGGTTGGATACCCCTAGAGGATTACAAAGGGATATTTGACAGCAAAGTCTTTTGCAGTATCATTTGTTTGGGTTATTAAGAGTGAACATATATATTATAAATGTTTCCTTTTTTTTTTATTGCCTTCCCATACCTTTACGAGTTTGGAAGGAAAACTTCAGAAAAATACTGTGATAAGAGTCAGTAAATTTTCTTCAGAGAGTTTAATGGGATAGTTAAAATTTCTTAAATAAAGCACTGTCTCTCACCGCAGACATGGCCATTCTCCCAGTTATGGCTGGAAGGAGACTACTAAAAGCACCACAACCCTGGGAATACCCAAGACAGTACCGAAAATCACTGATGCTGTTATGTTTCACAGATGCAGCTGCTGAGGCTGGTGGAGGATAAATAAAAACCCCCAGGTCACACTGCACTGGTAGTAAGTGACAGAACCATACTTAGATTCCAGATGCTCGAACTCCAAACCACCATGTTACATTCATTAAACAGATATTTCCAGAGTTCCCAGTTATTTCTTAGTCCGTGTATGACAGTGCCCATATTGGTGGTTGAATCGTACAATATCAGACATAGCTCTGCTCTCAAGATGCGTCTCCTATTGTCGGGGGAGATAAGACGTGTTTCCACAAAAGCTCACCAAAATAGAAGGCAGTAAACAAGATGTGAAGACTTAAGAGGTGGGCATTTTAAACAAGGTAGGCTCATGTTCTGGGCCCCAGTCACTTGTCTTTTGAAGCATAAAACATGATATTGATAAAAGAAATGTTCACATGTTGAAGTATGGGGAAGTCTTTCTGGCTTATACATGAGTTAACTTGAATTTTATGCTAACTAAAACAGCCTGTTTGTGGCCTATCAAACGTACATTGTACATCTGCTGGAATTATTAAAGGAAAGGGCGCATTGACCAGAGGTAAAAAACGTCCATGTTAAAAATGAAGATCAAATGCCTTCCTTCCTGGGATGCCAAGGCTGGGACTCCTTCGATGATGACCCCCTTCCCAGGGGCCAAGGCCATCCTGACTCACTGTGTAGGTTCTTATCTGTTTTGTTGAAACCTTGAAGGAATGTCTCTCTGACTTGTTTGGTGTTATTTGTTCTGACAAGACTTAAAACTGTGCTGAAACTGTGCTTCCCTGGAGCAGTTCCTCAGAGTTATATGAGAGGCTGGCTTCCAGGCTACAGTCCTCAGCTTGGCTGAAATAAAACTCCTGTCTGTCTATTCCTAAAAAAAAAAAAAATAAAAAAATAAATCTTAAACTTTCAGGAACCATTCAGGTTTAGTATAAGGTCTACTTTGAAAACAGTTTAGGGATTTGGGGCTTTTTGGGGGTACTTTTATAATCCTATGTAATTGTATTAAAATAGACTAGATAAGACTAAGAGGCTGGAGCAAAGAGCTCAGCTTCAAGACCTAATTAGGTTGTGGAATCAGCCGCATTTGATGGAGAGGTGGAGATTAACAGGGAGGGATGGGCTAACAGGAGTCATGGCCCTTGTTCCCAAGTGGGCAGTGATTGTCTTTCACTAAGATGAGGAGACATTTGTGGGGAGGGAGAGTTCAGGGTTTTTTTGTTTTATTTTTGTTTTGGCGGCACCGTGCAGGCTTGTGGGATTTTAGTTCCCCGACTAGGGATCGAACTGTGGCCCTCAGAAGGGAGAGCTTGGAGTCCTAACCACTGGACTGCCAGGAAATTCCTGAGAGTTCAGTTTTAATTTCAGTTTCCCAATTGCTGAGTTTGTTGGTGGTCACTGTACATTACTTTAAGCCTAGTGTAGGCAGTTATGAATTTGGGGGTATGGAACTTGGGAGAGAAGCCCTAGCTGGAGAGAGAATTTAGGGCAGTCATTAATTTACAGCCTGCCAAAATAATCCTTGAGAATCGGTGGTCTTGATTATTTGACCTATGAGCCTAATTTTTTTTCTTCTGTAGTTTACAGGCATATTCAAACACTAGTTACTGATATAATCCTCCAACCCACCCTATTTATCCCCACAGAAAGAAATTTGGAGTCATCTAACCATGTTAAATTCTACCTAGTTCAAATTCTTTAAGATATGGCCCAGAGAAGGGGTGGAATGCTGGACATTAAAATTTATTTTTCAGAAAGATACAACTTTGATTTACACGTTCAGTACAGTTGTTTCCACTGGTTAGCTATTATTGGTAAAGTACTTATCAGATTACTATTAAACGGATTTACTTATTAATCCTTAGGTGGGTACTGAAATTCTCTCCATTTAACAGTTAAGAACACAGGCTGAGAGAGGTGAGGAATTTGCCCCGAATTACACAGCTATTAAGAAGGCGGGTGGGCCAAAATTCAACCTCGTTCCAAGACCCAGTTCCCTCACCCAACTCTGCGGTTGTTTTAGCCAAATTTAAAAGCATCCAGAGCGAATGACAGAAATTCCCTCATTGTGTTCCCAGTCTGTTTTCCCAGAATCCTTAGGGCATCGTATTACTATTTCTTGCACGAGCTGGAGGCGTTAACGTGTAGCCTGGGCGTGATTGAGCGCTGATGACATTCTGCTGGGCTGACTCGTCCCTCTAAACATAATTCCTGCTTCAGAAGCGGCCGCCCGCGAGCAGTCAGAAAAAGCCACTGCCCCTTCGGCCCTCGGCGGCCGCGGTCTAGGTGAGGCCGGGCGAGGGTCTCGCGGGACTCCCGCCGCGCTTCCGGCCCCTCCCCAGGCCCCTCCCAGGCCCCTCCTCCTCCTCGCCCAGGATGCACCTGGTTGAAAACAAAATCCCACGTGACTGACTCTGCTCTCAGGCCATCATGGCGTCTCCCAGTGGGAAGGGATCCCGGGCGCCGGAGGCTCCTGGCTGCGGGCCCCAGCCCGTCGCCCGGGACCTCGTAGACTCCGTGGACGATGCGGAGGGGCTGTACGTGGCAGTCGAGCGGTGCCCACTGTGCAACACCACCCGCCGGCGGCTGACCTGCGCCAAGTGCGTCCAGAGCGGCGATTTTGTCTACTTCGACGGCCGCGACCGTGAAAGGTACGGCAGCCGCCACGGCCCTATGGTTTCTAACCCTGG